GCAAATATTCACATTCACTGCTTGCTTCCCATTTTACTGCTTAAAATTTTTAGCCATTGTAATCTACAGCATGAACATTGTTAGTGAATTTTGTGGATGGTTACTCACTGTTCCGAGTGATGCAGATGTTATTGATAACTTTGGCTGATCTTGTTGACTTCTCTTCTTTCCTTCCTTTTATCCCACTGCTCTTCAGTGAGGATCTCAATCATCCCTGAAGCTGTCATTTGTAGGATCAAAATGGCTGGCTCCCATGCTCTATGTGTATTTAATTGCTACATGTTTTCTGCATCAAAAAAGTGTAATATATGAGTTGGGGGAGTTAATATATTAGGAAATATTCTTGAAACAAAACAGGTAAAAATAGGTATTTTAAAATTTTGCCAGCCTTTAGACCCGAGAGAATATTTTATTGCTAGAAAATAATCATCTCAGTTTGAGGTTTAGAAAGAGAATTACAATGCTGGTGAAATCTGCTGATAAGCTGCTGCATTTGCATGTCCCTTCTGTGATATAAAATATTTGTATGTAAGCCTTATAAAAAGTTCTCCAGAGAAAAATGGCTTTTGCTTATATAGCTCTTTTTGCACAGTAAGAACAGTTACATGAAGGGATATGCTTGTAAGTTAGTGTCCATTCACTTTTGTATTTCTGATGCAAAGTAAGACCCTTATCACAATAGAGTAGGAGGCTTTGAGTAGCTTTCAGTCCCCAGGAAAATTTTACTTTTCGCTTCTTAAAAGGTTAACATGCACCCACTGCAGTAAAAACATGTTGGAACAGTTTTTTAAGTAGCTTAAACCTCATTCTAGAAAAGATTTCTGAGAAGTTAAAATTTGGTACAGTTAATATAATACCATAACTTTTCAAAACATGTAAATCATGATTCATTTAAGGTGTGGGGGTTTTTGTGTAATATCTGTCCTACTGCATAGTGGGAGGCAAAAAGGTCCCCTCATGTGGCAGCCTGGGAGGTTGTGTGTGCCTCCCTGAAGTCCACACACCAAGGCATACCACTGATTTCCAGTACCTAAAGCAAATGCTTTACTGGAATGCAGAAGTGAGAAGCCAGAGCAAAGTTTTACCCAGCAGAAGTCAGTTGGCCCTATTGATGGAGTTAGATTAATAAATGGCTTGCAAACAAATTCCCAGTTGTCTGCCTTCTGGGTGGAGTCCTCCTTCACATTCCTGCCACGCTTAGTGGTTTCTTGGGTTGCTCAGCTCCTCTGCATCCCGAGGAATGTCTCCTCCTTTCCGTGACCTCAGAGGCTTGGCTTTCATCTGCGCCTCACTGCAAGCATTTCTTCCTCTCTAGGGCTCCTGGTCTACTCTCAGTGCTGGAAACTCCCTGCTCGCTGGGTTTCTCTGTCCCTACCCAGCCTGCTGTGGGCTCCAGCAACATCTCACACCTGCACGTGCTCAGCTGCTCCCTCCGCCTTTCCTTATTTTCTGGGCAAGGGGTGTACTCTGCTCCCAGAGTACTGTGTCCAGTTTTGGGCCCCTCAATACAAGAAAGACATTGAGG